GTTCTTGAAATCGTATTTCGCAAACTCTCCTCCGCTATGCCCAAGCTTCTTGCCCGCTGCTGCGATTCCTCTGCAAACTCTACTCTCTCTCAATTCCTACGGTCGCGCACTCAATTCTTCCCCTGCTATGCAAGTCTCTGCTCGTTGCCTTCTCGAATTTCTCTCTGCCAGAATGTGTGCGCGCGCAGCTCTCACAAGAAATCGAAATCGCAAATTCAAGAATGAGTCGCTCGCCCTTGGCTCACAAGATTTCATTGTCAACACTTGGTCGTGAGTGTCGACTCACTTGATGGCTGCGCCGGCTTGGAGGCGTAACGACCCTCCTCTCGCACGCGCGGCTTCACGTTCCACCGTCGCGCGGACTCACACGCTCGAAAATTCAATTTGATTTCTGCCATCTCACTTTGCCGCGGCCGTGTTCGCGCAGCGCCGAAGGCGCGGCGGCGAAGGCTTTCACCTCTGGCCGACTCGCAACTCATATCTATCCCGCACCGTCGAAGGTGCCCCGCCGCAGGCGTTCTGCCGAAGGCAAACTCCTTCCGCCGAAGGCGTTGACCCGCAGCGCCGAAGGCGAACATCTACAGCCGAAGGCGTTGACTCCCAGCGCCGAAGGCAGACTTCTTGAAGACGTCCGTCGACGTAGTTGCAGCGCCGAAGGCGCAGCGCCGAAGGCGTAGACCGTAGTCAACGGGTCTTGTCCTGTATGTCGATCCCTCTTGTCCCTCCGAAGGCGCTTTTGCCGCCGAAGCTCTGTTCCGCCGAAGGCGCACATGTCCGTACCGCCGAAGGCGGACCGTACGGAGTTGCTATCCCCGAAGGCGCTTATCTAATCTTGATGCACTGGCGCCAAAGGCGCCGTACGAAGAAATTCACCCCCGAAGGCGAACATCTAGGGCCGAAGGCGGCTTGTCCGTCGACCTAGCCCTTCCGCCGAAGGCGTTCCCTCTCCGTATCTTCCGATAATCATAACTCCTTGAGTCCTCATCCGTTCCAAGCGTTCTTGGGCTCGTTAGGACGAACATGTTTAGCTCTTTCCAACGAAACCCTATTTAAGTCAAGGCGTTTTGAATTGAATAAGATCTGAGGGATTTCCCTAGCGCCAAAGGCGGATCGTAGAAGGCGGATTATGCGCCTTGCGCCGAAGGAGATCTACTTCAGAATTGATTGTTCAGGTCGGGGCGCCTGTTCGGGACATTGCGCCCAACTCCTGGATTCTACGAGATCATACGAGACCCGCAATTATCCATCTTTACTCTATTTAAATGTACCGATTACCATTTACACAGCTACTGCGCTACTGTTTTTCAAAAATGTTTTAAATTCCGCATAAAAACAAAAAATGGATTACCACACTTAGTCATAATTTAACTAACCATAATCAACTTCTTGGCTAATTACCACAACTATTTCACACAAACAACAACCGATCTTACAAATCTTTGTGTCAAAATCTTTCATCTTGAAGCTCATCAACTTCAAGAAAACATATAACACTTTGACATGAAAACATCGTTCAATAGCCTCAAAGAATAGAGTACAATCTTCATACTCAAGTATTTGCTTCAGATTCAAAGATTGCAAATGAAATATGAAAATAGTTATTGCCTAGTTTTTGATATTTTTCCAATTGTCGTTGATGTATGTGGATGATTTGAGCCTCAACATGTTGCCTAGATTCATGATCTTCAGCTTGCTCTTCACTTGTTTCTTTCAGAGCAGATAATCATCACATTTCTCATATTTGAGTATGTTGTATACTCCTCAATCAGACTTAGTGCCCATCCTAGCAAGATGACGTGCACTTCTCATCTCGTTACGACGAACATTTGAGATTGTTACTTAAGCTATTTGAATGAATACATCTTTTTTTTCATTCACTTGCTCATCTTCCGGAGTATGGATGGATTTAATTTTCTATATAAAAAAAATTATGTTGATGCAAAATATTTTGTCGCGCAAAAAATTCCAAAGATCAAAGATGTCAGATCCAACGGTACTCCATCCATTTGATTTTTGCAAATGTTCATCTTCCAAAATTGTTTGTCTTCAACAGCGTTTTCTTTCCACTTTCACATTTCATCCTCATTGTCTCTTTCACTCCCTTTCGCACTTGCTTGCGTTTTTTGAGAGATCGATCATTCAAGTTCAATAGCATAACAAGCCGTTTGAGTTTGCTTTCACAATGACTGTGGCAGGCAAGCTCGTCGTATGAATTTTCATGAGGGCAATGGATAGGCCAATGTCATGTTGATTTATAATGAGAATTAGTGTAATCTGTCAAAGTTTGTCTTAGTAAAAGTAAGTTACATGATACTTATCATTTTGTTATTATTAACATTTCTTAAGTTATACCAATATAGAAGTAGGAAAGAGACTTTGAAGCAAGATTAGATAATTCATTGTGGGAGGATTTGTTTTATTTATATAAGTTTGAGTTACATTATTATTTCATGCAAGATCGATGAATGTTTGTAATTGAGTGATGAGTTGGGAGTTTGTGTCAAAGTATGTTTGAACACGTACAATATGAAAATATCCAATCTTCTACAATCACGTTGAACTATCGGAAATCCATCTGAGCTAAATTTGAGAGAGAGTTGGTTCGAAGTTCAAGGGACTACTCAACGGACGGCACTTTTGTATGCTTTGATTTTGTCTCATATCTCGTGACAGAATCTCTCTTTTGCTTGCATCACCGTGGGTCCGCAACCAATACTAATACTGCGCACATGATTGAACGCTGCCCCTACCTGTGGACGATCTACATTGACAAACTTCTCTGCACTGCCAACTTTTTTGCGTGATGAATCTCCTCGGCACTTTAAATAATCTGCCGTCTCTGACAATATAACCAAAACATAACATTGGTTACTTTAATACTAGACATCTATATCTGAAACCCAAACAGAATTAACACTAACACATCATATATAAGTTATTTAATCATTGTGTAAAATATTAAGATTGAATACAACGTTCTTATTAAACTAAAAAAAAATGTATTAGCTATTGATACTAAATTTTAACAATTAAACATAATGATATTTTTGTTACTTGAAATTTCAATATATCTATAATGATTAAATAGTAAATACATGTTACATACTTATATTGAGTTAAAATTTATTTGGCTGACAAAAATATTTCTGATCTCTTTGATTACAAATGTAAGATCAATGAAATCATTTTGACAATATCTTCAATTTTTTATGAGAAAATAAAATATTATTATAAAAAAATCTGCAATGATTAGAATAAATCTTAAAAACCAACACAATAGTTACATAAAATTTGTAAGTGAAAAATTCAACATTATTTAAATATTTTTAAAAAACATTCAAAAAATGTTCAATCATTTGAAAAACATTTTTTTAAAGATTTTTTCAAATAGAAAATCTAAAAAAATAGTTTTTTTATATGTCGCAAATATTTTTAATCATTAAAAAAATCATAATGTAGGTTTGATTTTAAATAATATTATTCAACGCATTATATGAATATTGATTGCAAGACTGTATTTTAAAAGTGATGCATATTGTCAAAATTTGAGTTCAAAATTGCACTGACTGTCAGTTCTATTTACACTTGTTGATTTTGCTGCAAAATTCTTTTTCACAAAAGAAAGTTTATACTTTCAGTATTAAAATATGTATAAGTGAAATTAAAACTCAATTAAAAATAGGGTTGAATGAAATGTGATAAATATCTGCATATTTGTTTGCATAATTTATTATGATACACTTAGTTTTGTTTAATGAAATTTTTTTAGATCACTACAACATAGTGTTGCAATTTTATGTGAATTTTAGACAAGATCGAACTATCTTATAACTAATTTTCATGAACTTTACATGCTAGAGTTTGAGCAGTTTAACCAAGTAAAGGATGAATAGTGAAGAATAATAAATATTCACATCATCAATTAAGTATATTCGAACATTCACAAAACAAAGCAATGCTCATGTTACGTGATAAGTATATAAGTCATGCTCATTAAAAAAGGGAGGAATTTGAGACATTAGAGAATAGTCTATAAGAGGAAAAGCTCTGCTAAACACCTTGAGCTCTCTAAGGATTGATGCACATGAAACTCAAAAATTTTCAACGTCTTTCTCCAAAACAATCCAACCTAAGTGAATATGCAAAAAATCTTAAATGTGTGATATTGCCTCACAATTTCTTCGCGTAACAACTTCAAACTAATGTATACGATGTGTCATAAATACGATACACACCATTCAAAAGAATTCTTCCCAATAGCAATGGGTCGAATGCCTCCTATGTCTTCTTCATTCTTTATAATGAAACAAGCCGACAATGACCTAATTTTAGCTAAGTAAGGACAAGATCTTCACTCTTGAAACTGTAACTACTTGAAATAAACTTTAATTTCAATACTGCTCGAAAGCAGTATTGAGTGCGTTCTTAAGTGATCCTTGATATGGTGGCGTAAAAGGCAATATTCAATCTATCAATACATAATGATTACCTTGTCTTATAGTCAAGAATCTGACGAAGTACAGGAAACTCTTCCATGTATGCGACTGAAAGGTGGACCCATGTTTTGTGCTACGAGATGTGTATCTATTAAGTTCAGCGCGTTTCGGGGTTGGGTTGGGTTGGATTTGGACGCTAGGTAGGGTCATGCGCTTTTTCCACATCGGTTCGTTTTCTATCCATATCGGATGCTTGGTTGGATTTTACAACGTTTGAAGGTGTTTATATCATTCCCTGTTTTCTGTATCCAAAGTGGTCTCCAAACATTGAAAGTAGAGAGCTTCTCCTCGTTTTCATGATTTCGTTGCAGATTTCAGAACTTAGACTGTCAGATGTATCCACCTTCAACGATGTGTACACATCTGTGAAATGGACATTTAAAAGGCTTCACGACAGCTTCAGACATTCAGATAAAAATAAAACTCCTGGGAGTCCTTTCAGTCAACCAAGAAAACATGTCATGCAAATTTCCTGACCATCCCCGACTATGAGACATCTTCGTGAGAAAAGTTAAATTTATAAGAACCAGAACGGTTCGGTAATGACTAACTATGGCCGATATGTGCCTCTAATTCTCACAGCTGGTGGTTTGTGTTCACTTCCAGAGGTGATTTCTTTTATATCGAAGTCAGACTGCAGTCTACAAGGTCTGTGAAAGAATGATAGGTCTACAAGTGAAAGACAGAGTGCTGAAGGGAATGTGCAAGCTCCGTCTTTGCAAGATGTGCTACAGCTTCGTCTACGATGTCTGTCCGGTTTGGGCGGCAACTTCGGCAGCGAAGTCTACGACTTTCTTCTCAATGCCCTCGCCCAGGTTAAACCGGCAGAACCTTCTGACTTGAATGTTTTCGCCCAAAGCAGCGACGGTCTCCTTAATAACATCCTTCATTAATTTCGTGTCGTCCTTGATAAAAGGCTGCTCCAACAAAGCGAGCTCAGACAGCCTTTTGTTCAACCGTCCTTCGACGATCCTGGCACGGACAGCTTCGGGCTTGTTGGCCAAGTCCTCTTTTCCTAGTTCGATGGCCCTCTCCTCTTCCACGAATGAAGCGGGCACGTCTTCGATACTAACAGCAGTAACTAAAGGGCACGCAGCGATTTGCATGGCAACATTGTTGACAAGCTCCTTGAACTTCTCGGACCTGGCTACAAAGTCAGTCTCACAGTTAATCTCCACCATCACTCCAATGACTCCGTTGTGAACATAGCTCCCAACCAGACCTTCTGAGGCCAGACGGCTTGCCTTCTTGTCGGCACTGGCGAGGCCTTTCTTGCGCAAAAATTCCACGGCCTTCTCCATATCATTTCCAGTGGCTGCAAGGGCCTTCTTGCAGTCCATCATTCCCGCTCCGGTTGAATTTCTCAGCTCCTTGACTGCTCCTGCAGACACTGCCACTTTGGGTGAGGCTTCCTCAACAGCTCCTGCAGACACTGCCACTTTGGGTGAGGCTTCCTCAACAGAATCAACTTTTGCTGGTTTCTCTTCTACCTTGGGAGCTTCAACTGTTTGGGCAGTTTGAGCAGCGACCTCGGCAGCAAAGTCTTCGCTCTTCTTGTCCAGACCCTCGCCCAAAGTGTACCGTTCGAACCTGCGAACTTTAATGTTCTCTCCCACAGTAGCAACTGTCTGCTTGACCAAGTCCTTCACCAGGATGGAATCATCACGAATGTATGGCTGCTCAAGCAGCACGGACTCATTCATTCTCTTGGACACTCTTCCCTCTACAATCTTGGCCCGCACAGCTTCGGGTTTGTTAACCAGATCCTCTCTCTGCATCTCGAGCTCCGTCTCCTTGTTCACAATCTCTGCAGGAATATCCTCGACGGCGACGTACTTGACCTGTGGGCAGGCAACCACTTGCATTCCAATGTCGCTAACCAGCTGCTTGAACACTGGTCCTCTCGCCACGAAATCAGTCTCGCAGTTCACTTCGACGAGAACACCAATTCGGGAGTCATGGATGTAACTGCCAATGAGACCCTCAGAAGCAATTCTGCTGGCCTTCTTATCTGCACTAGCGAGTCCCTTTTTCCTTAGGGCATCACGTGCTGAATCGAAGTCACCCTTACATTCAGTAAGAGCCTTTTTGCAGTCCATCATGCCGGCTCCAGTTTCGTCACGTAGCTTCTTGACGAGTGCAGCAGAGATTCCTCCTTTCTTCTCTTCGACAGCTGCAGCAGATGCAGTCACTTCTTGCTTGGGAGCTTCAAGCTCCTTGGTCTGCTCCTCTACGGGTGCAGGGCTTGCAGCTTCGACAGCAGGGGTTTCTGTCACCTCTTCGACCTTCTCTTCCACGGTCTCTGGAATGACAGCTTCAGCAGCGGGGGTTTCTACCGCCTCCTCGACCTTCTCTTCCACAGGTGATGGGATGGCAGCTTCAGCAGCGGGGGTTTCTACCACCTCCTCCACCTTCTCTTCCACTGCTTCTGGAATGGCGGCTTCAGGGGTTTGTACCAATTCTTCGACCTTCTCTTCTACTGGTGCTGGAGTGGCAGCTTCAGCAGCGGGGGGTTCTACCACCTCCTCAACCTTCTCTTCTACCGGTGCTGGAATGGCAGCTTCGGCAGCGGGGGTTTCTATCACCTCCTCCACCTTCTCTTCTACTGGTGTTGGAATGGCAGCTTCAGCAACAGGGGTATCTATAACCTCTTCGACTTTCTCTTCTACTGGTGCTGGAATGGCAGCGGCAGCAGCGGGGGTTTCTATCACCTCCTCGACCTTCTCTTCCACTGCTTCTGGGATGGCAGCTTCAGCAGCGGGGGTTTCTGTAACCTCCTCGACCTTCTCTTCCACTGCTTCTGGGATGGAAGCTTCAGCAGCGGGGGTTTCTATCACCTCTTCAACCTTCTCTTCGACTGGTGCTGGAATGGCAGCCTCAGCAGCGGGGGTTTCTACCACGTCCTCCACCTTCTCTTCTACTGATGCTGGAATGGCAGCTTCAACAGCGGGAGTTTCTATCACCTCCTCAACCTTCTCTTCCACTGGTGATGGAATGGCAGTTTCGGCCGCGGGAGTTTCTACCACCTCCTCGACCTTCTCTTCCTCTGCTGCTGCTGGAATGGCAGCTTCGGCCGCGGGGGTTTCTACCACCTCCTCGACTTTCACTTCCTCTGCTGCTGCTGGAATGGCAGCTTCAGCAGCGGGGGTTGCTACCACCTCCTCAGCCTTCTCTTCCACAGGTGATGGAATGGCAGCTTCGGCAGCGGGGGTTTCTACCACCTCCTCAACCTTCTCTTCTACTGGTGCTGGAATGGCAGCTTCGGCTGCGGGGGTTTCTGTCACCTCCTCGACCTTTTCTTCTGCCGGTGCTCCAATGGCAGCTTCAGCAGGGGGGGCTTCCACCACCTCCTCAGCCTTCTCTTCCACTGGTGATGGAATGGCAGCTTCAGCAGCGGGGGTTTCTGTAATCTCCTCAGCACTCTCTTCTACTGGTGCTGAAACAGCAGCTTCAGCAGCTGGGGTTTCTACAACCTCCTCGACCTCCTCCTCGACAATCTCGGGAGCGGGTACTTCAGCCGTGACTTCAGCAGGGACTTCTTCAGGTTTTGTCTCCTCACTCAATTCAGCGGCGGGCGGTGCAGGTGTAGGATCATCCACAATGGGAGCTACTTGTTCTGATTTCTCATTGATCTGCACTGATTCCATATCTTCGGTTATCTCCTCGGCAACATCGGCGACCGCGGCAGTGTTGGATTGTTCAGTCTCAGCAGCTGGCGCCTCTTCGACCGTTTCTTCGACTGGAGGCTCTACTACGGGTTCGGGAATCAAATCCATGGCCCGGAAAGCAATCTCAAATGGGTTGGTGGCACCACCACCTGCACCCTTGTTGATAGAGCTGTTCACACTCTTGATGTCAACAACAGGCTTCATAGACAATGTGATCTTCCCTCGGTCGATACGCAAAACAGTGGCCGTAATTTTCTGCCCAGCTTGCAGACCGGATTCGGGTGCCATGTTCTCTCCCCCAGGGACCTCAGAGTACTTCAAGAAAGCCTCTTCTTCTTCCGGAAGGATGACATAAACTCCTCCTCTAGCGGTGTTCTTCACCGTACCCTCCACAACTTGACCCTTGACCAATTTCGTCTGAGGCTTCTTCGGTTCATCACGACGGTTTGATTGGTTGCCCCTGCCAGCACTTTTACCCTTGTTCACAGGCCTTCCACCATTTCCCTCCTGGAGTCGGCTCTTGTCTCCCCCAACTTCTCCACCTTGCCTGCCAGAACCCTCAGTCCTTTCTTCCTTCTCGGCCATGGAAAGAGCAATTCGCCCAGCGGTATTATCCACATCGATGACAGTGACCTGTACCTCTTGACCTACCGAGACGATGTCACCCACATTGCTCACGTAACCAGAACTCAATTTTGAGATGTGCACAAGCCCATCAGTGAAAGCTCCGAAATTCACGAAAGCTCCGAAGGGTTGAATTGTGGTGACCTTCCCTGTGAATACAGCACCTTGCACTAAAGCCTCGACGGGCACGGTAGCATCCTCTCTCTTTGACCTTGCATTCCCTCTCGGCTTCGATTTACCACCTCTTCTCTGTGGAGCAGCTGCGGGTGTTGAATCCTGCTCCGGCTCTGCAACAGCCTCTGTGGTCGTGGATTCTGGAGTCTCGACTACCTCGGCCTCGGTGGATGGCTCCTCTACTGCTACGCTCCCTTCTACTGCTGCAGTAAAGACGCGCCTAGACGAACCACTTCTAGCTACATGTCTTACGCCTACTCTTCTCCTGCTTTCATAGACAGATGAGGGCAGGGATGACTTCAAAGAAGCACCCTCAATTTGGGATTCTGCGGATGCTCTACGCAGTCCAGAACCGGAAGACACTGACCTTTTCGCCTGCCATATCTTGGACGCGCTTGCAGTGGTTTGGCAGAGGGACTGGACAGTCCCTGATGGGCAAAGCAACGCCGCAGGTGACATGATTCAATGTAGCGAGTGGTCGTTCAGCAGACTGCTTCCTTGGTTCCTGAAATCCTGCTCAGGATTCAATTTCCCGGAAGACTCCGCTATCTTCTCGTACGCATCAATGCTGCGTTCTGACTGAGATTTTAATCTTCGTTAGCATTCTTGCTCCTGGCAATCTGCACCATGGCCGAAAATCCACATCAACAAAGAATCAATCTAAAGCTCTCGCTTCCTTCCACAAAAAAGGATATAAACCCTCGAGCAATTCTCCCTCGTTGTGGTCGAATTATTCCAACCAATTGCGACACTGGAAAAGCAAGAACATTACTCGCAGCAAAAACAGAAAACTTAGCAAATTTCCGAGTTGATGAAAAAATCCGATAGTACATACACAGACACAGAATCGAAATGCACAGCTAAACCAACAGCATGCCAACACCGACCGCACGTCAACAAAAACTGAGCTAGAAAGCTAGCTCGGGCACAGGACTGAAACCACAAAAAAACGCACCACCACGACCAACAGCTGAAAAAATAATCGGCGAAATTAATTCCACCTCGAGCTAAAACCCTGCCAACGAATTCTCAGAAACCCGACACTGACTCGAGAAGCATGTCCAATTCCAACGAAGGCAATGCATCAGCTTGGAGCGGCGCAGAGTGTAGGTATTACTGACCCAAGTCTTCTAGACAAGCGTCTAAGCAGGAGACCTTGAGATGATCCCGCAACCTCGGGGTCGGGGCTTGAGAGACCTGCGCGCAAATGCTTGGATTGAAGATATAGCGCAATCTGGAAGCTCTACCACACACGCCCTCTCGTCTGCTGCCTGTTCGTCCTCTTCCTCCCCCGTCTCTCGTCAGCCTCGTCCTCTGCCCCCGGATCCTCTCGTCTCCAGCCAGGCTTGGAAGGATCCCGCTCCGCTCCGCTCCGGGCTCTTGGCTGCCCCCTCGGACAGCCATCTCCGCCGATTCTCCTCATCTCCACCGTCCATTTCCTCGCATTATCTTACAATTTCTCCGAAATTATCTTCTGGCGTTTTGCAGTTTTCGGCCAATGAGAAAATTGAGATTGCGCCTGGTAAAAAACTTCGGAGATTCAGATTCTGTTGCCTTTTTTACGAGCGCTCCTGCTGCTAGAGAACACTGTCTCTCGATACTATGCCTGCTGAGATATCTTTTCGTCCTCGCTGGATTCCGAGTCTAGAATGGAAAACAAAGTTTGCAGATTTCATTCATCGTAATGCTTATGTGTCGTCAGATTTAGACTGGATGATATCGAAGTCAAGGTTTCTGCCTGTGTTGTGATATGTTATTTGCTCATTCAAGTAGATCTTTGATCAGCTAATTTGCTTAATCTGTGCACTGTCTGCATAAAAATATTCCGGTCTCCTCTCCTGGGAATCAATGATTTGCATTGAAAATCTTGCATATTTCCCCATCTCTATTGGTGTCACTCAGTGCACGATCACAGATTATAGTATCGCTCCATGATAGACATACAAATTAACGAACCCGGACTGGTCGCTCACATTGTCTCGAGGGAGTAAGCTCGTCGGAATTAGCCTCGATCGCTGAGAACACTCCAACAACAATATTCGTTCGCTGCTCGGAAATTAGAACTGCGAGTGGGCACCACAGACTTCATTGTCTGGGTCACCCCGAACCCGGCCACCTAGAAGCCTCGGAACCCATTGCAAATCCGCACATAACGGAGCTCCGGCTGAGTGGGACTACGGGCACAACTGGGTATGGCGTCATAACATGCACATGATCACTGCAACAATTCTAGAAGGGTAGGAGAGATTCCAAAAACCAATCGCAATTCAGATTTTCTCAAACCCAGTTATTATATGAACATCCGAGAGCAATCATGCTCTCTCTGCCTCTCGAAATAAAACCCAACTTTCCTCCATGCCGCAATTGATCTCAGAGGCAGGGCAAACCAATGGCGGTACAATCTTCTTATTCCAGAAGTCCTTATAACGAGAGCCGAAGCTGAATCCTCTCGAACTCCACGGCAACCTTCCCGCAGTGGAGGGGTAAAAAGACATCGTAAATATGGCCGAGTCGACGTGGATCCCGGCTACGGGCGCCACGTGTGAGGCAGATGGGAGAGGGCTGCAGTTGGAAAAATGGAACTGGATAGTGGCTGAGAAATAATAGAAAGGGATTTAGGAATGTTGCCTGGTGGTAAGGCCGGGTTTGTCATTGGAGCTGTGGACGGAAGCCACATCGGCGCCCTCCTCACCTCAGAAGAAGCAGATAAGGTCTCCTTTACGAGGTTCCACCGCAACCCGAGTCCTGGATCACGTTCAATCATGAATTGGTCATCTCCGCTACATTTGTCCTTTTCGCAACCTGCAAACGCTTGCGCTCGCAAAAAGCTTGACATGGTTCTTCGAATTTCCTGTCAGTGATCTTGCTCGAGCTCGTCCTGTTCAGAATCCCATTCTCCTTCATTACTCGTGACAAAATACTAGATAAGCCCGACGCCGATCCTGCGATGGGAGTGTCGCCCGCTGTAGACTTTCTATCACCTGGTTCTGCATCTGGCTGAGATGATTCTTCGCAGAGTTTCAAATCACTTCAATAATTGATGTAACGAGAAAGGTATGGAGTTGTAAAGGTATGAAAAGCCCGTGTTTTGGATCTTGCATGATCAATAGACCGGAGCAAAACTGTTACGCTAGTTCCATTTCCATGCTATCGAGACATTTCCCCAAGTTAATTGTTTGGTTTCATCCATGTATAAGTTGACGGGGTCTTCACCAAAGATGATCGAAATGTCGGATTCGGTGCCATAATTGGGCGGGGCAGAGGTTATGCTCTACACCGACCACAACTCCTCCGCAACAGACACTCGTTTGAGCAGGACTATCATTTCAGTACTTTTACTCTGATCCCGCACATTCAAAAGATTATCGAATTCACGCAAGGGGAATGGAAATGCACGAAATAAATGCGCGATGAAACCACATCGAAGTCGAAGCAGTCAAGAAAAAATCCAAGGGCCCAATAGGCAAATAAAGAGGTTATCTCTCTCTTGTTTGATTGTTACCGCTCCAACCTCACATATGCTTTCTCATAATTGCAAAATATGAGTGGCATTGATGACATGAGGTCCAAGAAAAAGCTACTGCATTATGTGCTGCAATACATATACATTCTTCACAAAACTAAGTGGAATGTGACAACCACAAATGTAAACCAATAGGTCTACCATGATACCATGTCTTGTTGTGACGGTTTGAAATATGTAAGATGGAAGACTCCTTTTTTATATATTAAAAGACGCCTTGTAATCGGCGCAGAACCTCGTATGAAACAAAGTACCGGACTTGTACTAGTACAAAGTTAGACAAGTTGTGCAACAAGGCTGCTACTTCAAACAGTTGAATAGTAGAAATGTGTGGATGAGCCAAAGTACCATATTGCCAATAATATGATGAAATACAATGATTGCAACTAAACACTATTGTGGAATTGCCCATACAAAGTGATACAAGTACTCGAACGAAGTACTGTACTAAAGTGGAAATGTTTGTACAAAGTGTGATACGAATCGCTGAAGCTGAAGTAGTAGAAAGAAGCAACTCAGCGGAAGTGATTATACAAAATATTTGTACAAAGTGCTAATACAGAATAATCAAGTCGGAAAACTGATAGGAAAGTACTCGAGACAAAATATTGATATAAAACGTTTCAAGCATCGAAGCCGAATTTTCAATACAAGGGATCGCCAAAGTCTAAGTACATATACAAAATGTTAGAAAACAGCAAAGCCTAGGTACCAATTATAAATGATGATACAAAGTGCTTTAAAATAGCAAACTTGTAGTATTGATACAAAGTGCGGCAAAATATTGAAGACAAAGTTGCAATACGAAGTAGAGATACGAATTAGATATTAAGCATCTAACATAAAACATAAAGTCTCGATGAATATAGAAAGTATTCATATAAAATTGTTAAGTCAAGGTGCTAATATAAAGTATAAGAGCAATAAAATATAGTATTACTCTCTCACTTTTACTCCTTGTAAATGTTGAGTAAGTCTTGAAAATCACCCAAAAATTCTGTACCTTGATCAGTCAACATATCCGTTGTAGCTCCAAAGTGGCTAAGCACTCTATTTAAGAAAGCAAAAGCTACAGCTCACTGTAATTATTTGATAATGCCACTAGCTCAATCGACTTGGAATAATTTCCAAGTCGATTGAGCTAGCACACGCTAGCTCAATAACGAGCGTGTGACGTGATCTTACACGCAAAGTTCAATCTTCACCTATAGCCTAAGACCATAATTGGTAGTGGATGCAACTGCGGTGTGGAAGCATTCAATGATGCTTTAACCGAGTCACACACCATGCAGTTTGTTATAAAATATTTAACATCAATTTGCATTCAACGTTACCGATACTGTCTATGGAGTAAAATATGTGTACGCTTCATTCCAAAATGTCCCAACTCCATGTAGACATGCCATATCATCTTGATTCTTTTTGAATGATATTGTAACCGACATACTCGTCCATCCTTCCACAGCCTTAGCATATATGATCCTTCCCACTTGAACATCTTCGCTCTTTGTAAAATTTGATCATGTTCCTTATTATCATCTATGTCTTCCAAATAGCACTACGGAAGAACTTCACAATGGAAAACTTGTTGCAAACTTGTTGTAATTACTTGGATTTTAGATCTTTGGAAAAGACAAAATAGAAATGCTCACTCCTTTTTAGAAGACAAAATAGAAGTGCTCACTCCACTCTTCTAGAACATCGTTAATTCTCCCGCCAACTGTAAAATTGTAGCTAAACTTAGTCATGACTAGATAAACTTAGTTATAACTAACTAATTTAGTCATAACTGGCTAGACTTAGCTATGCTTTGACTAATCATCCTTAATCACTTGACCACTTCTAAGACTTTGTACATATGTGCAACATCAAGTCTTACAGTTCCTACAAGAGACAAATTTGTTGTAGATAGCCAAAGCTTACTTCCAACGTGAAAAACTAACTCCCCACGATGAGCATCAACATATTATTTTTGTCAATTTTGAACAATCAACAACTTATCCTTTGCTTGGTGTAGCCCTCGATGGATATGTTCCACAAACTCGTTGACCACGACAACCTTAGTTAAAACTACTCTCTTTTTGAAAACTTTAAGAAACTTGATGGAGTAATGGAATGAGCGACGTACATGAGATAAAATGGAGACACCTTTGTGGATGCAAATTTACAAAATTGTTGAATCAAAATTTCACAAGATTAAAAAGTGTATACCACTCTTCTTGCTCCTCTAATATGAATGCCCGTAGCATATCATCTACAATTCCCAACATTGCATATATCTCAACTCACTGACCCGAATACTCAGACCCGAATTTGCTTAAATCCCAAGGAGCCTCGACTGCTAAGGACACTCGAGCCGAATACTCACAACCCCTGATGCGGTAACTTCGACAAACAGGAGCGCACCGTGCCTCAGGCCTGGATCACACACCAGGGCATAGACACAGTGGATACAGATTCACAATCAAGACAAGCCAATTGACAGAAAAGCCCCCCAAGGAAAGAGCCTTGGGCTTCTTTATTCACAATGGCAACTCTGGAATCTCAACCGCCTAAGACGAATCGGTCTCAGGGGCTGTGCCGTCCAATGTAACGGTTACAACATCGTCTGAACTACTGTCTACTTCTAATCTACGCAACACGTTTACAATCTCTACTTCTACATTCTGGCGCGCCTCATTCAATCCCTCTAAAAATGTGTTTACTAACTCTACAATCTGTTTGTGTCATGCGGATCCGCTGGTCTTCGCTCTCATCAGCCGTCGCTCGAGTGAATCTAACTTCATCCACTTCACCGAGTCCAATCCCCACATCG